GAAAGCTTTTTCTCTTCACGTCATGTCATTGCGCTTCCAAAAACGAAGCGATACTGATGCCTTTTATTCGCAGCCGAAAGTGACCACTTGTTCTACCCCTTCGTCTCCTCAGGCAGAACACAAATCGCGCTTACAAGAGCCTTGTCCGATTCCAAGCAGCAACCCAGCAAGTCAGTATACACTCCTTGAGAAGCTTGGAACTGGAAGCTTCGGAACAGTTTACAAGGCAATACATAAGGAGACAAAGCAGATTGTAGCTATTAAGCAAATCGGTTCGTTTCAAGAAATCTAAGCGGCGGCGTTATTCGACGTTTTCTTCCCTTTTAGATCTGGAAGATTCTGACGATGATATTTCTGAAATCCAGCATGAAATTGCGAGTTTGGCTCAGTGTGATTCTGAATACGTGACTCGATATTATGGATCCTTCGTTGTCTCTTACAAGCTTTGGATCGTCATGGAATACCTTGCAGGAGGCTCATGTCTAGATCTTTTGAAAGCGGGAAATTTCTCTGAAGTCCATATTGCCGTGATATGCCGTGAGCTGCTGTTAGGTCTCGACTATCTTCATACTGAGGGAACGATACACCGTGACATCAAAGCTGCCAATGTGTTGCTCTCATCGTCTGGGAAAGTGAAACTGGCTGACTTTGGGGTCGCTGCACAACTTACGAATACCTTGCGACATACTTTCGTGGGAACTCCATTCTGGATGGCACCTGAAGTGATTCGCCAGGCAGGCTATGATGCCAAGGCAGATATGTGGAGCCTCGGTATCACAGCCATTGAGATGGCGAAAGGAGAGCCCCCACTGGCAGAGTATCATCCAATGCGTGTTCTTTTCCTCATCCCCAAAGCGAAACCTCCTGTCTTGGAAGGCTCATTCTCGCCTGTATTCAAGGACTTTGTAGCGCAATGTCTAACGAAAGACCCAAGTGCTGTATGTCATACATGCCCATACATCCGTTCTGATTAACGAAAATTGGCCCACAGCGACCAACAGCTAGTGAGCTTTTGCAACACAAGTTCATTCGTGGTGCAAGGAAAACATCTTGTTTGACGGAACTTATTGAAAGATATCAAGATTACCGTGCGCGCTCGCCGAGCAAAGGACCCCAGATGTATCAACCATCAATAAAACAAACTCAGGTGTGGGACACAATACGAAGCGACTGGAACTTTGATACTATCGAGTCTTCCTCTGCAATGGGAACATTTCGTACCATGACAAAAGACTTGGATATGCCGCTAGGCATGGTGCCTGATGAGGGCCTCGAAGCCTCGGAAGAAGCTCACGGATCCATTGATTCTGGAGCAGTGACCAAAGGCAGTGACCCTAAAGCGGTCGGGATTGAGACGAACTCAGAAGCAGCACACTCCCCAGTCATCATTAAACCTATTCCTACCCCTTCTTTCGAAAAAGGAATGTCGGTTAGTCACGATGAAGCGCCTGATGACCCCGACTGTGTGGAAACTAAGGCCCCGCTTGGTGCGCCCCCAGCTTATACCGGATCAGTCCATTCTAACCGTCGAACATCCTATTCGACAAAGGTGTCGGTGGGGGGTGCTGGGACAGTACTACGGGAAGCTGACGTTGGGACCGGGGTAGACACGATACGACCCGTCAGGAAAATCGACCCCGCTGGCTCTTTACGGTTGTCAGCTGAGTTTGTCGGTAACATGCGCAAGGACGGCAATCCGACTTCTCAGACCTCACCGACGAAGCACAGTCGTACACCAAGCCAAGTCAGGAAGGCCGGCTCGGCTCTTGTGGATGAGGTTGTGCTTCCCATCCTCCAGAATGTCAGTCAGGATCTACATGCTAATGCCGGCTGATCGACCCTTTCTTGCACAGGCAATTCGAGATGACATAGATGCACGGGAGATTGAGTCGCTCAGCATGCTCTCTCGAGGCTTTCTTGAATTAAAGGAAGCGAATCCCGAGCTTGCATACAATGTCATCCTGGACATCTTGTCTGGCATCAACGAGTATTGTCTTCTCTATGAACACGGTCGAATTTCTCTAACCATCGTTCATTTTCAGCAACCAAGCTATACGTCAACATGTTCAAACTTCTCGAAATCTGTTCCCTTATAAAAGTATAACCCGCAGGAGTGAGATGACTCCACAAGGACTTGTTGTCACTGAGGAGTTTGATGGCAATAACAGTTCCCTGTCTTCTACGGGTTCAGCATCGTCCATTTCATCAGATCCTGGTGATATTCCGGCGAAACAGTCGCCTATTGCGGAGCTCCTCTATCTACGCTGGCTAGAAGGACTGAAGCTCAAGCGGCCAAACATATAAGCCC